AAGATCTTGATTCATTCCACCAAAAAAAAAAAACATTTTAATCATGTTCTGCACTTTTGTTTTATTCATTCTAAGTCGATAAACATATATTCAAATACGTTGATTCATAATCAAAGCAAGAATAAACAGAAAAAAATAAACATATTATCTTGAAACCAGTGGAGCAACATATACTCAAATACGTCCAATTCTCGACTTCCTGTAAATAAAATTCCATTTAAACCAAAATTAAAAATCCGAAAATGAAGCTCCTACAAATTGAAGATTTGATTCCATCCAGCAATTACATACATATGTATAGATATAGAAAGAGAATAAGAGAGTGCAACGCAAAAACAGTATAGAGATAAATGAGGTTGCAGAGAGAGGGTGGAAATTGAATTTGTACTGAATGGTTTAAAGTCTGAATTTTAACCAAATCTAATTAAAATGGGTATTTGGATTTTATCAATAAAAAATAAAAAATAATAAGGGGCCCAAAACAAAAGCCCACTACTAAAAAATAAAACTAAAAAGCCTAAACCAATCTTCTTCATTTCATCTCATCCATCCCAACCATTTCACAGTCGTCGGTGCTGTCGTCTGTGCTTCCAAAATTACTGTCTATCATCTGCTGCCATTTCATCCATTTCACAGCCAAAACCAATTGAATTTGTCTGCCGTCTGCTTCCATTTCAATGATTTCATGATTTTCATCTATCCCTGCTGTCTGCTGTCATTTCACAATCTGCCCTTACAAGGACATTTCTCAAACCGGTTCCGACAGAGAGGCCCCCTTCGATTTTTGGCCTAAGACGCAGCACTCATACGCCTTGCCTCAAGACCGGCTCCGCTTGGTCCCTATTTTTTTAAAATTATTTTAGCATTTTGCGACTAGGTTTTTTATATGCATATGTGTAATAGATCTGTACTTGCATACATTATCTATTCCTTTTATTTGAGAAGCAAAATTATTATTATTATTATTATTATTACTACTTTGTAAAAGATTTTGAGAAACCAAATAATTTGAAGTATACCCGTCAATGTACAGAGGGAATATGTTCATTCCATTGTGGAAATTGTTTGAGCTAGAAACATTATTTTAATGCTAACATAAGGTGCAATTGCAGAAGCATGTGGTTCTGCCGTTCAGGGCCGGCCTAATATGTTGGCGCCATATGCCAATTTTAAATTGGGGCATATATTTTGAATCTCCTTATATATAGTTTTAGCCTTTGTTTGATGGAGATTAAGTCTTGTTTGAGTCCTATTTTTTTTTTATTAAAATATATTTTTCAACAGTGATTTAACACTATTTTAACTACATATTTTTTAATAAAATAACATTATATGCAAATTCAAAAAATTTTCTTATTTTTTAATCACACATTCTTCATCGTAACACTATTTCAAAATGCCTTCCTTTTATTTTTTGAGAAAAATGGGGCTCAATCAACCCCTAAAATCAAATTTTTAGTAGATGATAGAAGTAGATGAAATATGTGGATTTAAAGTTGTGAAACCTATAAAATATGTGATTAAAATTAATTGTTGATTTTGACTTAAATTAAATTTAGATTTTAATCGATACCAAACAGCGGCCTAATATAATTATAAAAAATCTAACACAAACACCTAAGCCCTAAAATTTGAAGAGAAAATTAACAAAATGTCAAATTTCAACCTACAACACAAATTATATGTAAAGTTTGACAAACAAAATTACAATGCAATGGCAAAAATGTATGTTTATTTCTATGACTATTTTCTCACTATAACTATTTCAAATAAAATTGAATATACATTTGAGTGATTTATGTATAAGATTGGAGAATGTTGACTGCAAAAAATAATGTAAAAAATAATGAAAATGATGATCAAATACAAACGAGCTTCTAATTTTATATTATTTTATAAAAGATTAATTTAAAAATAAGAAGTATCTGTATGAATAAGGACAAAGAATTATTAAATTTAAAGTACATTAAGCAAACATCTAAAAATATTATTATCATGAGATTAAAACAAAATAATAAAATAACAACATATGTACTCTGTAGTATATGTTTTGAAGATTAGAGAAAAAGAAAGAAATCTGTAAGGTTGTAATAATAAAAGTGAGACCAAACCAATCTACATTGAATCTTCAAAATTTTAATTCAAAGGGAGATAATTCATATCTTGTTGGGTTGAAGAAATAATGGTGGGTGATTGTTGGACATGGAATTTGAAGAGACAAAGAAACCTTTTATTTGGTTAAGAAAAAATGAATGTTTAGAAGATAAAGTGTCAACTTAATTATAAAATGAGAAAGTAATGTTTGTGGTAAATATAATTATAAGAAAAAAAAATTCTATTTTATAGACTTTCATAAATATAATTTTTATTTTTCTTCAACCAATCAAATAACTTTACATAATTTGGGGTCCTCATCAAAACGGGGCTTTAGGTGATCGCTTACTTTGTCTATACTCAGGGCCGCCACTGCTGCCATTTTATATAGTACCTAATGCTTCAGATTGATGTGAAAAAATCTACAAGAAGCTGTGTTTATGTGATTTCTACGAATGGCAACGTGATTAATTACAAGGAAAATAACCCCAAGGATGGTGAAGCACCAATTGACTTACCATCTTTCTAAGGATCACCGATTTTTCAAAATTTGCAGTCCACTTAGGGAAATATTCTGATTTATTTTTATCAATGTCTCTGATACTTATAACTTTTAGTAAGAGTGTTTTTATGTTTTAACAACCAAAGAGCAGAGTCGGTCCTGTGGCTAGGCAAATGAGGCCTACGTCTCAGGCCCAAGACCATAGGGGGCCTATTTTGGCCAAAAAGTTTTTTTTTTTTTTTTTAATATTAGAAGAAGGAAAATGAAAATAGTTTTTTCATTAATTGTGAGATGATTGAGATATTTGTTTGTTGTTCTAATGTTAAATTTTAAATTGGCAATATGTTGTACAATATATCGTTGAATTCTGCATTTACGTTGATTTTGGGGGGTCTAATTTTTGAACTTTGCTTCGGGCCCCGACAAACACAGGACCGGCCCTGCCAAAGAGGTACAAATACTAACTTCTCTAATTACTACTCTCCAGTGTAAAAAGAGTATGCATATGACTTTGAAGAGAAAAGATGGAAAAAAGTATATGTATGGGGGTGTTACGTGTGAAAATAACAATATGAGAAGGCATATGAGTGAGCTTTTATTTTGAAGTCAGTTAATTAGTTAAGGAAGCAGATTCAGAAATATCGAGCATATGGCGTGTCAGGATGAAATGGGCATGCAATTCACAATGTGTGTCGCCATCATTCCTCTATTCTTGCCTCTGGAATTGGGAATAAATCTTGTTTGTCTGCCCATATTTTGTGAGCTTTTAATTGCTTAAACTAGACTTACAGGATTTCCATGTAATGAGATTGCACTTCACACTCTAATGAATTTAGTTTTCGCAGCATGGTCGTCTCTTAGTAGATATGATATAAATGGCAATTTACTGTGCACCATGTGTCACAACTTGGTAAGCTGCTAAAAAAAAAAAAAAAAAAAAATTTTTGGGGTTTTTAAATTAAAAACATAAAA